AGACCTTCAGCTCCCAGAGAGGCAGGGTCATGGCCAGCACTTCCCATCTCACACAAGTCAGCTGTGCTGGAGAGTTGTCTGTCTGCCCTTCGTGTGGTAACAAAACAAACATATAACTTCATTGTTAACCCTGGTGAAACAAACCTACTCGTTTGGCAGGGATGGGGACAGGGGATTGTAGTTACTCAATTGCCTTCTCACCTACTGAGATTAATCCTTCCAAGCCAGCATTGCAGCAAGTGGCTATGAATCTGGGGCTCACTTTGTCCATCCCATAGATGAGTTAAGATTAAACAGCAGGCTTTCAATTGAAGGAATCTCTTTCTCCTCCTCTGCTTGAGAGTTTACTTCACCAACAGCCATTCTGAGGTTTTATTGTGTACTGTTAAAAACTAAACCTTTAATGTTTAGAAAGTCTATGTCCATCACAGCTCCTGGGCTCCTCTGTGCTCAGCATCACTCTTCAGTGATATGCCTGCGTCAAAAGAAGACTCACACATGGAAATATTCATTAACATGCATTCTATCTACTTGTAAGCATTTGTGTGGCAAATATAGAGACACTATGAAGTTATGCTGTCAAAAAAGACACAGATTGGTTAAAAAAACCCCAAGAAGTCCTCATTCTCTTCTTTGTAGGAGCTGTCTTCAGAAATACCTGACTGAACCTCAGGACAAAGTCCTTGATGTACACCACTTCTGAAGGCTGATAAGTTTTCACCTCATATGTAATAGCTGAACCTCACGTAACTACTCAAGACTTTAACCTATTTCTTGCATTTTTACATGTATATTATTGTTTCTTGCAGTTAGGATCTACTTTTTTCTAGTAGGAAACTAAAGTGTGGCTTTAGTAATACCTATCATCAATCTTATTTATTCCATCTATTTCTAGGTAATTATATATAGTGTGTTTCTTAGTCTATATTTGGATGGCCTATTTAGAGATGAATGGATTCCTTCCAGAAGGGCAATAACCTTTCTGTGACTCAAACATTAATTTTCAAAATGGCATCATAGGTGAAATACCTTATATATCATCATAATTAACAAGATATACCCTATTAATGGTCAGAAAACATGCTTTTCATAATTATAAACAGAATCCTTCCTCTCTGTTATGAATTGGTAGCCAATACCATCTGATACATCTACAGTGAAACCTACTAAAACCCTATTCAAAAAGCAATCTTAATTGCCAGCCTTGCATACCTTAGGCACCCACAAAATGTAGATTTTAGAGACATCAATATTACAGATCAGGACTATTCACAGATTTGCCTGCTATAATATGTTTGACAAGTTCTTTTGTTTGAATCAGACAATTGGCATTATAGGCTAAATTGATTTGCCTGCTTTCCTAACTCCAATAAAGTCAACTATGCCTGTAATTTCTCAGAGCACAGAAAAACTTGTAACTGCAATTCTTACGCTTGAGTCCTCCTTTCTGATTGCAAAGTCTTAAGGGTCAGGGGATTAGATGCTTTCTGGGAAAACTTGGAGGAAGGACTGCAATGATAAAGAACTAGGCAGAGTGGAGAATAACACTGTTCCCTATGAGGAGCCCCTTAAAGGAATTAGAGCAGCTCTCATGTAAAGAGACAAAAGACAGAAGTTCTATTATACTAATTCAAGCTCTGATCTCAGCAGATCTTTTAAGCAGGACTATGTCTGACAAGAGATCACCAAAGGAAAGATGTTGGGAGAGCACTGGTAATTCAGAAAGTGGTGATTTTTCTTCTGAAGTAGCAGTGGGTCGATACCACAGCTGAGTACCAGTCAGCACTGAGCTTTCAGCTGGAGCATGTGAGGTGTTACACCGAGGCCTGCCATGACCCACGGAGCTCTGACAGTTTCTAACAGCTGAGAGGTTTATTCCAGGATCCTGTCCTAAGTATAATGTATGGATCAACATCCTGCCTAACCTCCTTGCCCCATTAATTTGAAGGGGAAGCAGAGCCATAATTTTCCCACTGGAAAAAGTCTGTAAGGAGCAGAGCAGAGCCTGCACTCTGCTAGACTGAGAGTTACTCGTCAGACAAATAGTTACTGGGATGGGAGGCAGGTACATTTAGCTCAATAAGCATAATTTGCTCCCAAAGCTTCCTGCCTCTGAAGAACAGAACTTACATTTACATTATTATAGGATGATACATTTCCCCTAATTTTTATTAAAAGCTTTATGACAAAAAAATGTTGTTAAAAAAGTATGGGAGAGTTAATGCTCTAGAGGATTGATGCATGACCATTTTTTCACAAGCATACAAGAGTTATCAAGTAGTAACAAGCTAAGATTGGCAAAAAATAGTGATGATCATGGGTGCTATTTAATATGACTACACAATAACTTTGGGGACACATACACAGAATGTTCAGTTGCTGCAGAAATCTATGTGAGGTTAAAAGCCCTTAAGAGTTTAGAAACTTGTCCTTGACAAATTGCTAATTGTCTTTTCTAGAATGTCTGCATGGTTCATGTTATAATTTTTTTTTTTACTATGAAGGCCAAATTCAAATATGTCATTTCTTTCAACAATATTCTGCTAAAAGAAATTTCAAATATATAAAAATAGTAATCTCTTACAAGCAGTCATGCTATACTTCTCAAGATTAGAAGAGCTTGTAGATTAATGTGATTTTTAAGATATTATTTACAAAACTGTGTTGGTTTTATAATGTTTTTCTTATTTCATATCAATAGCATTAAAATAAAAGGGATAAACTTAAGGGGTAAACAATATAGATGGCTTTTTATATTTAATTCATAGTCCTGTTTCTCTTCCTGGCTTTCATAAAATGTTTAGCTCTTTTTAACACTCTAGTAAAGAGATTTGTATGCCTATGTGTGTGCATAATTGCATGTAGGAACATTTCTATACAACTTTTCAGCCTTGTAAAAGCACTCTGAATTAACATTGCTACAATAAGCTTGGTGTTCAGACAATAAAAACCTCTAAATAAAATAATAAAATTATTGAGGTATTTGTAACCACTTTGCATGCATACAGCATTTTGGTCAAAAATAGACTAATAAGAGCTGGTTAATGATACATTTTTACCATTCCTTAACAGGGAGAAATCCTACTGTCACATGTCAACCAGTTATTCAGCTTGCAATCCTGAAGAAAACTGTGAATTGAGTTATTGCTATGGCAAAAGCTATTGCTTGCTCAAAGACTGTCATAAAAACTGATTACAGGTCTAATGGACCTTGCTTCAAACTCTGAATCTGGACAGCTCTGTCTAAAGGAAGGAATGGTTGATTATTGGGAGTCACAAAGCTCTGCTTATATGGTTTAAAAGAAGGGGTTTTCTAATACATGAAATTGTGAAAGCTTGCATCAATTTTCCTAAATAAAATTCAAAGGTTTCAACCCTGTTTTTATGTATATTTTGCAATGTGATACCTCCCATCTTCTGTCCTCTAACTCTTTTTCAGGCCAGCAGTGATGGCAGCAGGCAAATGCCCTCTGAGGACTGTGAAGACCACAGGAGTCAGATGCTGCAGGTCATGTGGGGAACCCACTGCCAGAATGTCATCAGCTCAAAATGGGAAATTCTCCACACTGAGTCCAACCTCAGTGCTTCAGATTATTTATCAGAAAGAATCTAAGCAGAATTTTAGTTCACCTTGATGGTGTGAAACACAGAATCACAGGATGGGTCAGGCTGAAAAGGACCACAGTGGGTCATCTAATCCAACCTCCCTGCTCAAGCAGGTCACCCCAGAGCACATGGCAGAGGATTGTGTCCAGATGGTTCCTGAGTATCTCCAGTGAGGGAGACTCCACAGCCTCTCTGGGCAATCTGTTCCAGTGCATGGTCACCCGCACAGTAAAGAAGTTCTTCTTCATGTTCAGGTGGAACTTCCTGTGCATCAGTTTCTGCCTCTTGTCCTATTGCTTGGCATAACTGAGAAGAGCCTGGATCCATCCTCTTGGCACCCTCCCTTCAGATACTTACCGGCATTGATGAGGGCCCCTCTCAGTTGTCTCTTTTCAAAGCTGAAGAGGCCCAGCTCCTTCAGTCTTTCCTCCTATGAGAGATGCTCCAGTCCCTCAACCATCTTCACAGCCCTCCACTGGACCCACTCCAGGAGCACCATGTGTCTCTTGTACCAAGGAGCCCAGAACTGGACACAGAACTCCAGATGTGGCCTCACCAGGGCTGAGCAGAGGGGCAGGATCACCTCCCTTGACCTGCTGGCAATGCTCTTCCTAATGCCCACAGGGTACCATGGGCCTTCTTGGCCCCCAGGGCACACAGCTGGCTCATGGACAGCCTGTTGTCCACTAGGACCCCCAGGTCCTTCTCCGCAGAGCTGCTTTCCAGCAGGTTGGCCCCCAGCCTGTCCTGGTGTCTGGGTTTATTCCTCCCCAGATGCAGGCCCCTGCATTTGCCTTTGTTGAATCTCAGACAATTCTTCTCTGCCCACAGGCCTTGCTAAAAGGGGAGTTTTGGCTTCAGTTCTGAAAATGTGATGTACAGATATTTCACCAGATGCACTTTCATTGCTAAATACAGTTGTTTCAGCTGTGAATATAGACTGATATTGCACTTGAGACAGTTAATAGCATTTCAAATGCTTTGATTGTACAGGCTTCCAACAGTTTCATGAGTATATCCAATCATACTTCAAACAAACTTAGTTGTGTTTTGGGTCCAACCTGTGTTATAGATTAGATCAAAACTGCACCATAGTGTGCCACCCAGGCTGGATCTATTCTAAGATACAGTTGAACCTCAACCATTGAGCACATATGATAAAATCACTGGTAGTCCTATGAATAAGTTTTTCTGAAAGGGACAATTATATGGGCTTTAAAGAAAATTCTCCGGACACATTTGGAAACTGACCTTACAAGTTATTGAGTGGCTTGGATTCCCATTCTGTAGGCATAAATGATGTTTAATATCTTAATGGGAGCATATTGACACTTTGGCAGACATTAAGCATTAGGGGCACAAAGTATAAACTTTCTGTTCCACTACTCTTTTTCTTTTTTTTTATTTATTTCAACAACACCAGCTATTTTTGATAAAAACATGTAATACACATTGAAGCCACATTTCAGTCATAAAAAATCTTAGAGCTCTCAGATATTTGTACTGCAACGCTTTGCTCCCATTTTAACAACAAAATCCCTACTAAAATTCCTACTTTGTTGCATGTCTCCTCAAGGATCTTCCTGTACTCATTATACATCTATCAGCTCCTCTGTCAGTAAGGAGGCATCCTCTAGAATGAAAAACAGCAAATAGAAAAATAGTAAAATGTCATAAGTTTATGTATATATATCGATATCTACATATTTTATACTTGGGTTCAGCATCTAATTAATAGATTTTTTCTGTCTCAAAGGCTCATGTCTGTAAATTAAAAGCAATTACATGATCAAAGGCAGTTAAATTCTAAAACACATGTAAAAAATCTGAGGGAAGTGTGAATTCATTCATTTATGAGCAGTAAAAGTATTGTTATTTGGACAAAGTAAAATACAGATGATGTGCAATTTCCTGTCAAAATCAGGTTAAGTAAGTGTTGATAGCAACGACAACTTGCAAAAATCAGCATATTGGTATAAAGACTAAGAATTAAGAACAAATACCATACCAGGAAGGAACTAGAACTGGTGTCTTGGACAGAGGCTCACAGAGGCTTTGAGGCATTTGTTTCTTTATCAAGTTCTGTTATGTAAAAAAAAAAAAAGTGCATTAGTGTTTTAGACTCACAACACTCTTAATGGTAAAAAGCCCTAGAAGGTTTATTTGAAAAACATGTAACACAGTAAAAAGTCACAAGAGGAAGAAATCTAAGACAACACAAAGGTGAGACACATAAGATATAATCCCAGAAATACAAAACTGACAGGGATTTCTGCTTTTATTTCTTGCACTCCTGTGCAGCAGTTCTCCAACGGGCTGGTTTTACAGGACAGGTCCAGGTGGGACCAGCTGGGGAGCCAACAAGGGAGATGCATTTGGGAGAAGATGATGGCAAAGAGAGCACTGAAAGATGGCAGGCAGTAAGAAGACCATGCAGGGGAAGAAGTGAGCAGTGCAGGAAGCAAGAGTAGGGTGAGGAGGTTGAATAGGAAAGGCTGTCACCTCTCAGAGGATGTGATCTAAAGAATAGGTGGCTGGGAGGCCATGGTTTAACTCTGCAGTTCTTGACAGCCATAAGCTTCTTTTGCTCCCATGATCTGTGATGCTCACCCTTGTTCCTTCCCCACTCCATTTTCATACCCAATTCCCACCTCCTTGCTGCGCTTTCTGTTCTATTCCCAGTGACTCTTTGGCAGCACACCTCCCTCTGCCTCATTACAGCCACACCATCCCTGGGGGATTGTTTCTTATTTTGGGAACTACTGATCTGGTTCACCTCCTCAAATGAAGAAAGTGCACATATATCTAGTCCATCCTGACATCTATTCTCAAAGGTTTCTGACGAAGGCTGTTTCACAACATCCCTAATCTCTCTGTTCCAGTGCTTCACAATCTTATCACTCAGTTTCTTCTCTAATACTTAGGATAAATATTTATTGCAAATTAAACTGATTTTTTTTCTTGTTTTACCTTTGGTAGACATGAAAAGCAATGGAACATTGTCTTCTTTTATAATAACTCCTTATAGCTTGAGAGACTATTTTCCTTTCTCTAATCTTCTCTTTCTGAGGCTGTGCAAATGCAGTCTCTTCAATATTTGAAAGGAACTCATGTTTTCTGACCTCTGTATAATCCTTAACTGGATCCTCCTCAGTTTGTCACTACCTCTCTGTACTGTGATGCCTAAACTGGACTTTGTCTTTCAGTCTCAGCAATACCAATGGTGCTTATACGGCATCCATTCATATCCAAAATAAATATATTAACACAGTTCTGGTGGGGATGAAAAATAATGTTCAAAGCAGTGTCTCTGCTGGTGCAATATTTGGAAGAGATTAAAGCTACTGGACCACTCAAGACTCAATAAGATTTCTGTTTCATCATATCATAGGCTTTTATTAAGTATAATTGCTGACTATCACTTCATCTACAGTATACAAGTAAGAGTAGGATAAGCAAATCTATGAAGAATATCTGAGAATTAGTGTTAAGTTGTATATGAAGTCCCATTTTGTATGAAGGCAGTTTACTCTGTATTTAACAATGTAATTACTCCAGGTAACAAGTTTTGAAACCAGGCCTAAATTACATCAATGGAAACTCCTTTTCCTAGCAGACCATGTTTAAATGAAAAATCCAGTTGAATACAAGGAGCTGTGCTCAGAGCTGGTTTAGGAACTCAAACAGTGTGAAGCAGCCGAGACCCCCAGGCAGTTCAGAGGTGCCAAAAGGGGTCGAACTACGTTGTCCCACCCCAGCTTTACACTAGCACAGCTGGTTATTGCTATTTCTAGAGGAGGCTCTTTGTCGAAAAAGTGGTGCCAGACAGGTGGGTGATTCAAGCCCAAAATGTGACCAGGTACAGTAACACGTATTTCCAAGTAAATTCACATAAAAGCGTCTCTGACTGTGACGTATCTTGCACATGCAAAAGGCTGTGGGGATGTGTATGTGACAGATGGGGAGTTAGAGCATAAATTGCTTTTCTCATGCACCTTTTGGCCTTTTGCCTTCACACTTGGACATCAAGCTATTATTGCCTGATTAACAGTTCTGCCCTTCCAGCATATATTAAGCGTATCAAGGATAACTGATGGAATACTGAGCCATAAATGTTTTCTTGGCATTTGTTTGGCCTATGCTATTTGGGAACAATAAAAGCATCTCATATTCATAATGATAATACATATATACCATCACAGATCACACCATCAAGCATTCTCCTCCCATCTTATTGTGTTGTGCAAAGTGTGGAGATAAACATTAATATGTATTAATAGTATGTAAATACAATTAATCATAATAGAATGTTCCTGACATGTTACCACTGCTGTTGATAAAATATAATTAAAATTGTCTGACCGAATTTTCAGTGTGATTAGAATTGGCATCTCTATTCTTGCTGTTTACATGTGCCTATCTAAAGAATGTTACACTTCTAAAAATCACATTATTTCATTCTGTTCCTGGGAGAAAGCAATGCAGGGCTGCAAGACCTTTACACGATATAATTAATGAAAAGTCATATAAAAGAATGAAAGCCTGCAAAACATACACCTACAAAGAGTGAAGCTACAACTAACTCCTGAGAGGACAGGAATTTTAGGCACCATTCTCTCAAAAGATTATAAAGAAAATGAAAGAGGCAACACCTGTGTTCCTGAACTTGCATGTCCATGCAATGGGAGAGCATTCAAATCCAAGTTTTGCATTGTTCAGAGACTGCTGGAATCTATTAAACAAGAATTTCACTGAAAGCTCCATGAAGTGATGAAGTCATAAGAGCACTATTGTTTTGGGCAGCAGAAACTGCTTTGGAAAAAAAATAGACAATATTTTGTGGAGATGACAAAAGTAAGAATGAGGGTAGCATGCAGAAGGTGACCTAGAAACCATTTTTCACTGTCTCTTCCAATGAAAGAATGAGGTAGGATATACTGAAAGCAGCAGGTGGTGGCCTTGGATACAAAGGAAGGGCTTCTTTGTGCGTTGTCAACCCATCCTTGGAACTGCCTGCTGCAGGATGCTGAGGATGCACAAGTTTTGTGCTGGCTCAAGAAGTGACATGGCAAACAACTAGGAGAAAAGCCCGTGGCCTCTACTACTCTTGCACGATAGCCAACTTATTTAAGTGGCATGTAATCCCATAACACATAACACGACACCTCAAACAAAATATGATAACAGTGCCGTTATGTTTTTATGTGTTTTCAGGTGCACACACGCAAACAAGGCCACATCTGCAACTCCTGTTAATGGGAGCGAACTCTTGCTATACTGTACATACAAAAGTAGTAATACAAGGCAACACAGTGTTTTCATTACATATATTTTCCTCTAACAGAATTAATTCCATATATTTAGATCCACTATTAGCCAATACTGCATCTTTGTCACAAAAGGGAGAGAAAGCAAGACTATTTCAACATATTATCATGTTGGTGTAATGCAGCTGATGAGATATAACCCATTACTGTAATTTTAAAATTACTTGCATTTTTAAAGGTCATGCAGCTGTTTTCAGTTATGTAATCTGTAGAATGATGGAGTAGGAACAGAGATAGAGCATAAAATAATATTACTGCCAACAATATGCACGTCAGACACTTGTAGACAATCTTCCTACTTTTTTTCTGTCTTGATAAATGAAAATTGATGCATTGCATTTTTAAAAGCAGGTTGGGCCAACCTGTTTAACCATGTATCCTGACTAGGTTCACTTGGAATGGAGGCAGTCATACTTGGAGGTTTTATGTATATAAAGATTAATGAATTTGTACAATTTGGGCATGCAAACCATTTTTATCAGGCATATTCCATTTAGAATAAGCAGTAAACCATATATAAGGGTTGTGTCAAAGTTTACTGAATAGGGCCCTTGGTAGCTAATGTAACATTTCTCCAACAAATCAAAGGTATTGTTCTATGCTCACATGAATATACAGTAGCCATTACCTTAAATTTAAAACTCACTGTGAGCAGCAAACACACTGTGGGGATATGAAGGCCATATTGTATCAGTGGAGTCTGCAGAGATTTTCTTCATATGGCTTTGCCCGGTTGAAATATATGTTGCAGTTGAAAGCTAAAGGGATTACTTTTGAATAGTCATCACAAAGGTTGATTATATTCGTATATCATTTAGCTGGACCCTGCAGGCTATTATTCCATTAGCTGTGCTGGCCCTGCACCGTCAAAAAGTTGATCATATAATGTAAAAAGGTTACATGCTCTGTTAAGGTATGTGAAGTAACTTGAAACAGTAATCTTTTAAGAGCAGTACAGCTGTGTACTTGAAGGTAGATTGCATTTAAAATAAATACCCGCAAAATGGAATAAATACAATAAACCTACTACCTCTGTTCCCTATTTTTCCTTCTTTGAATAGGACGTATACAATTTGAGTAAGTTAATTGTACCAGGTAAGATATTGGCTAGAGAGTATTTTTTCATCCCCACATCCCAAGAACTATACCTCAAAATAGCTGCGTCTTTACATGAAACCCTCACGGAAATTATGTTTCTGGTGAAACAGATTTGCTGATTATATTCCCCTTGCACATGCGAACACACACACACACACAGACATTTTCTTCCAGTGCTTAATAAAATGGATCTTCAGACGGTTCCATTATGTGGATGCCTTAATATTATTTTATGCTAAAACATGGACAGCGCATTAGATTGAAAGCATCTTACTGTTCCATAAGGCAGAGTAATCATGGGCTATCCCTAGATAGCAAATGCTCCCATTGGGGAAACAATACCAACAACACAGGCTAATGAATCACAGCAGTTATTAATCATGGGCACTTGTAAGAGCCACATATAATAGAGATGAACTCTCAAGATTAGAAAGGTTAGAAGGTGGGACCGAGAAAAAGACAAGAGATCATCCAACTGCATTTAAGAATAAGTTTATGGACGAGTATTTGCTTCAGTACAGTCATGCCCATGTTGGCCTCAGTCTGTCTGAGAGGGCAGAGAAAGAGGAACAATTCAGTCGCCTCGGTTCACTCAGCTTCCAGATCCTTGTAGGACAATTTGGCAAAAATAAATAAATAAATAATCACACACATACA